CCCCTCTACCTTCCCTCTCTCCCTCAATTAGTTGTTTTTCTCATTGTCATGACCAAAAGATCTGATAGGAGTAATTTAGAAAAGAAAGTCATCCTGGCTTTGTCTTTTGTTGTAACCCTTCAGTAAATATAGTGATCAGGAATGACGGTGGGGATGGGGGATTGGGAGGTGTGAGGGGGGGCAGGAGGGCAAGGGGAGGGCAGGAAAGCAGTGCTGGGGTGGGGTGGGATATGTTTTGGCTTACAATTTGGAGGCATATAGTCCATCATGGCAGGAAAGGTATGGTGTCAGAAGTGGACTAGGGTCATGAGCACCTGGTTCCATCACTTAGGTATTCAGGAAGCAGAGAGCTCTCTCCAGAACTGGAACCTGGCTATAACCCTCAAAGTTGGACGACAGAGAGACTTACTTCCCCACCCAGTTACCAGGTCCTAAAGTTTCTAATCATCTCCCCAAATAGTACCACCTATTAGCAACCAAGTGCCCAAATGAGCCTGTGGGAAATATGTCATATTCAGACCATGACTGTCATTTGCTGAGCATTTATGGAGCACTTCCTAGGCCCCAGGCACTGGATTTTCATCAAAGGGAGACAGTGTAGCCCCTCCCAGCAGGGGTGTAGCAGGGACTCCTCCATGTCCAGTGCCCAGCTCAGAGCGTGACACACAAGCTATATCTCTCTATTGGCTGAGGGCCTGAGAACAAATGACTTTTATTATCAGACATGAATTCTGTGTCTATCCTATACTACTGACTGAATAGGGTCCAAATATACAAGTAAGAACACAGGGTGTGTCCTGTGGTACAAGGGGTTAGGAGGACTGGGCACTAGTCTGGGCACCCTCGTTTTCCTCCCAATTCAGCGAGGTGAGAGACAGGATGCTCTATCCTGTTTGTCCATCTTCTCCTTGCTGGCTTCCTTTCTCAGGTCAAGAGTTCCCCAAGAATATGAGGGATGTCTGGTACACTGTGGGCCCTTAGAAAAAGTTTGGCCCATAATCTAATGTGATAGAGTGGTTCATAGTCTCACCTCCGTCATTTGTTTGTAGGCATTTAGTGGGTGCCTACTGTGTGCTCACCATGGACACTGTCAAGATCCAAAGTTTCTCTCAAGTCCAGTGTGCCTCAGAGAGCCATATATCTAGTCCTTGAGAGTCCCTATCAGCCAGGAGTTCCCATCTTCTGCCTCATCCCTGACATGCCCATACAGGCCTGCCAGTCCATTTACCCCATTTCCAGGCTTATGATCTCAGAGATGCCACCTGAGGACTGGCTGTGAGTCTTATCCCCTTCATAGGGACAATGACTCAGTGTCTTTGGCACCTAGTAGTTTATTCCTAGTCACTAGTGGTATGTCATAAACCTGTGTGGCAGAAAGAATGGATGTGAAGAAACAGGAAGCAGGGTTCCTTCTCTGCTGGTCTTCCTGCCAGTGTCCTTGTCTCTTCCTTCCAGCTGACTGTGACTCCCAGAAGCCCCCAAGCCTCACTGCCTTCCCAGCAAAGTTGAGCAGGCCCGTATCGCCACTTACTGAACTGAATGAGTCTGGGGAGCAGCCCTTCCTACCCAGGCGCAGAAGATCCTTGGAATGATTGAGTTCCATGCATCTACATTCTGGATAGGGAGGGTGAAGCATGGGAAGACACACTTCAATTCTTTTGAACTTCCAGTTCCCCCATGTGGTTTGGGAGCTACCCAGTCCTTGACACCAACATTGCCTTCAAAGAGCATGGGGGAGATTTGGAAAGGTCTGGGTGCCACCACTGGCCAGCTATTTACCTTTGAGGGAAAGTACCTTCTGCTTCACAACGGGAAGACCTGGAGACTTTCTCTACCTTGTTTGCCACACCTATCCTTCAAGACCTTTTTGCAATCCACCCTATATCCCTATGATTCTTCCACAGGAGATGCCCATTCTCCACAGCTACATCTAACATTCTTCAGGATCTAAAAGCCACCTCCTCCTGGGTGCATTCCTGGGTTTCCAGCCATCCTCTAAGTTAGTCAAGCTTGACAATTCAACCGATCCTTGTGTGCACCCTTGAAAATTCCTATCACAGCCTTTTTAATATTACATCTGTTGTCTTTTTTGCCACAGTCGGAGTACCTCATGATGTGCTGAGTGTGACGTGACCCCTCCAGATGTTCCTCTCTACCCTAAGTTGTTCTTCAGGACTCTGTCGATATTGCAATTTGTATGTGTTCAGAACTATGTGCAGTTAGTTCGTCCCTAACCCTTAACAGTAGCCCACTTCCCCCAGAGCAGAGGTTTGCATACTGCCTACTGCACACTTAATACTGCATACTGTAGCCTCCCCTTTGTTTTACAGGTACTTTGGTTTGGCAATATTTGGTGGCCTGATTATGTCCCAGATTCCAGGCTGGCTGTGGGGACACAGATGCAACTGACAGTGACAGCACCACGATGTGTGGACAACGATGGGTGTGAGTGGAGTGGCTACATCAGGTGAGCATTGAAGGACAAAGAGGTACTCAACAGCAGCAGTGGGGAGGAGGGAAGCCTGGGCAGAAGTGGCACAGGTCTTCAAGTGGCCAAGCTTGCCTAACTGGGGGCAGGGAGGCAGGGGTGGGGGTGGGAGTGTCAAGACAGGAGATGAAGTCGGGGAGGCTAACAAGGGTCTGCTCAGAAGGAGGAAGGACTGTGGACTGTGGACTGTGGACTGTGGACTGTGGACTGCATCACCATTCTGAAGTGCAGAGGACAAGAGTCTGGTACTGTACGACTTGACTTACTAGCTTAGTCAACTTTTTTTTTTCAAGGTAGATAATAGCACATCTCCCTTCCCATAGCACAATGGCTCTTAGCCAGGATAGAGTGCTGGCAAGCAAAGATGCAAACTACTACTGGTGGCCAAATCCCCCAGCAATGCAGATAAGTATCTAAGAGTGTTAACCTCACTAAGTAGTCAAGATACCTAACACTTAAATTCAATACTTTAAAACGTCTCTAAGGGGGAAAAAAAAGCACCATGAACAAAATACCAAAAAATGTAAATAAAGGCAGGATGTGCCTGGCACAGAGTATGCAGCTCAGAAACACGTGGGAGCAGTGATTGGACAGGGAGTGCTTTACCTCCGAAGCTGTGAACTTCGGAAAACTCCAGGAAGCCCCGAGGCCCTTTCTCTGGGAGAAGGCACTATCTGTGAACAGCCTCGGGTGCTCTTTGAAACGAAGGTGAAGCACTCTGAATGAACGTGTGGCGTGCCGGGCCCCAGAGGCCATGGGTGCTCTGCCCCCTGCAGGATGCCTCGCACAGCTCGGAGGCGCCCTCCCCCTTCTTCGACTTGGGACTTTTCCGAAAGTTTGCTGAAACCAGACACCTTGCTTGACCGTGCCCGCGTGCAGCCGCGGTTTAAAAGGCTGCCTTCAGCGCCCCTTCCCCGCCCCCAGCGGAGACTTCAAAAGGGGGGGGACCCGCCGCGGCCCCGGCACCTATGAGCCACCCCCCGCACCCAGAGCTCGCGCCGGAGCCTGAGCACGCGGAGTGGCCGTGGCTGCAGCGCAGG